GTCTGGAAATTGAACTACAGAGGTCCAACTCGAGGGCTACCACTTTTCAGACACTTCAGGATTGCAGGGTTTGCCAGAATACTAATACTAAGGGAATTTTGGGCGAATACGCAATGATTCCGAGAGAGAAACAAATAAAAGGTGTGGGAGATGTGCTGAACTTCGAAAGCTATTTATACCCAAAAAAAGCTAGGGCTCGTCGCACACGACGTCAGTGGGTGACATGGCAGTTTTGTAGTGGTGACAGGTGTTGAAATTTTTTGGAGGGTCAGAGGTGCACCGTGCCCACTATCTATGCACACGGCTGCGCGCGAAGATTTAAGCTTTCTTAAAAAATCCATTTCTTCTCCGTATGAGTTCCGTTTTTGACGTGTTTCTATATCTACGTGTAGCTATCGACGATAACTACAACTTTCATTTACATTCCATCGACTATTTTGGCTTTTTTTATAGTTGTATTTTAAACCGATATAGATTGTTAAAGTCTGTTTAAAACTCATAACTCTCTCATCCGACGTCCGTTCCTGATTGTCTTATAACTCTCTCATTCAAATGATCTAAAATTTTATTTATATGATAACATTGTTACACTGAAATATTAGAAAAATCATAACTTCCTCTCATGAAGTCAGATTTAGGTGTTCTCTATATGCACACTCTCGGTTTTACTATTACTACGAATTTCGTTATATTGCTTAGGAAAATAAGCAACCTATCTAAAATCCACTTTTTATGATGCACTCTGCCGCATCGGGTTGACGTAAAACTTTAAACGATCATAACTTCTCCATACGAAGTCATATTTAAGCGTGCTTTATATCCCCGTAATCCTCGTTACAACCACTTCCTCTTTCATTAAGGCTATTCGATGTGATTATTATTCTTTTTAAGATGCATATTTTATTATATTGTGTTAAACATGTATACTACATATATCTACACATAAATCACATAATACTCAAACAATTATATCTATTTATTTCATAAAAGGTTATAACAATTAACCATTATAATTATATCATCTTATTAATGCCTAGTGAGAAATGTGTTCATTACATTCATTATGGGATAATCATATCATTAGTTGATATGAAGTTTAGAAAGTTAAAAGTGGAAATGACAACACTTCAAAGTCCACGGGCCAAAAAGTGTCAAGTTGGCAAATTTAGTTGACCAAAGGGTTGACTCAATTAATGGAAGGGACTACAAACATTAGATAATGGATGGAGAAGGACTTACTATGTCAAAACTTAAGTTAAAACCAAAAAATATGATTTTATAGTGTAAACTAAAAAAATTGGCAAACTAGAGGGACTAAATGTGAAAAATGAACAAAGTAAGATGCGCTCTTTCTTCCCTTACTCATATCAGCCATGTTTTACTTGAAAGAGGAAGTGAATTGTGATTAAAGCTCAAGATAAATCATATGAGTCGATCTCAAGCCTTCTTGGTCCATTTGGTGCAAGTTGTGAAGAAATCAAGTGGCTCAAGGTATACTTTCTTCCTCCCTTGCTGTAGAATTTGAGTCTCATCTATGGAGTTGGAGTTATATTCTTTTTCCAACGCATTTTTTGATTAGGGTATTGGTTTCTAACCTCCCATAGGTAGTTTTCATCCCAACCTCAATCCAATCATCATACTACATGGATTTGAGGATTTAGGTGAAAACCCTTGAAATCTAATTTGGGGATATTACAATTGATGATGAAATGGGATTGAATTCTATGAGCAAGATCATATTTGATAGAAAAAAACCCAATTAGAATGCTCAAATTCACTGATGATGGTAGAATACTACATAAATATGGATTTTAAATGGTTTTGGGGAAATTGTGATGACAACAATGGAATGCTTTTTATGTTAGCATGTGATGATTATATGATACTCATAAACGTGATTTGATACTAATAACAAGATTTAAATGCAAAAACATGAAAACTTGAATGATATTTAGTTGATATTATGGGACTTTTGGTCATAAGGGTATTTTAGGAAATCTATGGATAATTACATGATGATTGACCTATTAGAAGTGAATGACATTCATAAACACAAATTAACAGTCTAGAGATGGAATTGGTATATAAACATGAAGGTGTTCTAGTGAATTTATATCATTAGTTATTGTTTTGACCCAATGGCAATTTGTGGAACAAAGAATGGAATGAGTATTCCATAGTTCAATTTTGTACTTATAATGAGATTGATGGTAGTTTTATATACTTGGCAACATCCAATGATGATTTGAATGAATTTTTAATAAGTCACAACGGTTAGAATGCACACTTGTAAAAAACTGGGCTTTACCCACGTATAAAACCCATCATTAAAGACATTTTATGCTGGGCTTTTTTTAAGAGCATGATAGGAAAGGCCGCGTCATTGAAGAAAAGTTATACTATCGTTCAATTGTAGTGAGTAATACTCATGAAAACCCGTTATTATAGGTCAAACCCGTCATTATATGCTAGGGTGTTTTTGGAGATATATTTATCTTATATTGATAACCGTGATTAATAATAAACTTATAGTGATGTGTTTTTTCCTAGAGTCATAAATGTTCACTTATGATCACCATTTATAAATATTATCTCAGCCATTGTAGACATTTTGAGACACAAATGCAATTAAACAGTAATGATAAGCTATCTTTACTAACATGTTTAATGGTTTATCATTACTATTGTTTACATACACCGACAAATCAAAAATTTAGACGTCACAAAAAATGATCTATACTAACATGCTATTTCTTTTATTATGATTGTTGATCCCTTTTAGTGAAATGTTTAATATTAGATCGTGAATATTGTGAACGTTTACTCGCAAGAAAGCAATTAAACGGTGAACATAAAATACTTATAATGATGTATTTTTTCATATAGAGTGATAAATGTTTACTTACGGTGACCGTTTATAAATATTATCGCGACCATTGTTGACTTTTGGAGACACAAATGTAATTAAGACGTAAGGATAAGTTATGTTTCCTAACATGTGTAATGGTTTATCATTAATATTGCTTACATAAACCGATAAATAAAGAAATTAAGATGTCACAAAAAATGATCTATACTAACGTTCTATTTCTTTTATTATGATTATTGATGACTTTTAGTGACATGTTTAATATTATATCGTGAATATTGTGAACGTTTACTCACTCTCAAGCAAATAAACGGTGAGCATCAAATATGTGTAGTGATGTGTTTTTTCATATAGAGTGATAAATGTTTACTTACGGTGACCGTTTATAAATATTATCACGATTATTGTTGATTTTTGGAGACACGAATGTAATTAGGATGGAAGGATAAGTTATGTTTCCTAACATGTGTAATCGCTACCTCACCAAAAATGATCTATACTAACATGCTATTTCTTTTATTATGATTAATGATCACTTTTAGTGACATGTTTAATATAATATCGTGAATATTATGAATGTTTAGTCACTCACAAGCAATTAAACGGTGAACATAAAATACTTTTAATGATGTGTTTTTTTATATACAATGATAAATGTTTACTTATGGTGACCGTTTATAAATATTATCTCGGTCATTGTTGACTTTTGAAGACAGAAATGTAATTAAGACGTAAGGATAAATTATGTTTCCTAACATGTCTAATCGTTTATCATTTCTATTGCTTACATAAACCGACAAATAAATAAATTAAGACGTCACAAAAAATGATATATACGAACATGTTATTTCTTTTATTATGATTGTTGATCATTTTTAGTGACATTTTTAATATTATAACGTGAATATTGTGAACGTTTACTCACTTAAATGATGAACATAAAATACCTATAGTGATGTGATTTTTCATATAGAGTCATAAGTGTTTACTTATGGTGCCCATCTCCCTATTCTAATAAAAGAGTAGTTTTTAATGTCCTTTTGACATGTGTCACCATATTAAGCCTCATAATTAATGCAAAAATTTATTTTTCTTTTGCCATGTTTCACCTTATTATGTTTTATAATTATAATTAATGCATACCATTTGTCAACATATTGATTCTCGATTTCAAATTTCAAATTTTAAATTTCTCATTCTAATTACATTAAATTAACAACATTAGAATAAAAATTAAAATAAAATTAATACAAATTATAAAGTGGTATAATTTTACATATTTATTTAAAGCAATGATTATAATTTTATATAACTAAAAAAACCTCTTAATTAATAATTTATTTAAAATAAGTTATTAATAATTTTAAATTTTAACTATTAAAGTTTAATTAATTTTATAACCTTGGTTCCCACGAGTTATAAACTAGTTTTTAAATATTATTGTGGGTATTATTGACATTTGGAGACAGAAATGTAATTAAGCTGTAAGGATAAATTATTTTTCCTAACATGTCTAATCATTTATCATTAGTATTGTTTACATAAAGTGATATGTTTAACCCGTCACAATATGTTTTTTCATTAATTATATTGTAGAATGTTTTTTCTTTTTAATTTAATTGCACATATATTGGCCATATTTCATTACTATGAAGCACAAAAACGGGAATATAAAATATAATGTAATAAAAAACTATTTTTTAATAACAGGACTTAAAAAGTTATTACATCAATAACATACATACAAATATATAATGATAAACTAAACTCTACTTAAATTAAAATAGGTGTTGCACTCCTTAGCGTGGTTGCTAGAGAATAATTAATGGGCTACTTGTAAATGATTGAGATTTTGTATTTTATTATTTGCTTCAACAATATGTATATCTGGATCCTGTAACGACATAAATTAAAATAGATGTTAAACAATTAGTGTATGTAATTAACTAATTAGTGTATGTAATTAACTAATATAATCGTTTAAATAAATATTATAGTGGTTAATTAATGAATGTAAATATTAATATAACTTATGCAAATAAAGTACCTTAGGATCCAGGATTACAATATATTTTTCCCAGGCCACAAAAGAACATATTGCATTCTTAACTCTTAATGGGCGTTTGTTATCTCACTTTGGTACACATGTGGATGGCTTTATTGCTTCATCCATATAAACTCTATAGTAATCAGCCGTCATTGGCTTTCCATGTATTTTCTGGTTTTCATGGGTAGAATACGTGACCAAATCCTTTGCAACAATGTTGCTACGTTGACCCACTGACAGTGGACATTTTATCGTCTACATATACATGCACATATTAGTAATAAATGTATAAGTATAAAGTTTAATTAACTGACATGTATATATATGTAAACATGTGGAATACACATACTTTGTTCAGTTGTTGTAGTGTCTTGGGTTGAGGTGTTGCTATTCCTTTTCCAGTTGAATTCCTAATTTGTGGCTCCTGACACGTAGCTGTAACAGTTTCTTCACCCTCATTCAAACTTTCCTGAAAATAGTTTAGCATGTTTAGTCTACGAAATATTGTTAAAAATATTGGAAAGGAACTGTAAAAAATATATTATTGTATTAATTAACTAACATGGTGTTCCACCTGAGGGTATTTGAGATGTCGATTCACCCACATAATTGTTTTTCCTTTTCTGGGAAGACAATATGTGATGAATGCATTAATTAACAACCCATTTTATTAAAACTAACTTAAAAAAATTCACTTACTTACTTTTTCTTTAGGAGCCTTTGTTGGAGGTGGAGTGTTAGTATTGGAGAGTCTGCAAGATTAACGATAGAAGGAACTGCCAAACTCATCAGATACTCAACTTGGCACCTCAGATCTTTATCTGTATATATTTGCTCTTGTAGCTTTTGCTGAAGGACATAAATTGTTTCTTTTGATGAGGATTTGGATCGAGGCATATCCCAATATCTAGTTAGAATGACTCCAGTGACAACCCCTCTTACAAATCCACTATGATTTTTGCCAAAGATCAATGAAAGCAAGGGCATCAGTGGCTGATTCAAGAATGGTTTTTCCTTCTTCGATTTCATTTTCATGATTGACCTAGAAAAAATGTATGTCAAATAAATATACTAATAACTGTGTTCTTTATTGGGTAGAATTAACAAACACCAAAACCATATATATATATATATATATATATATATATATATATATATATATATATATATATATATATATATATATATATATATATATATATATATATTATTACTATATATAAAAGCCCTTTCATTCTGGTGCCGTCTACAGGAATTTAACATGGTTTATTATACGCCGCGTCGCCTACTCTGAAAGACGCTATGGACATCAACACTGATTCGAAATCCATTCATAGCGACTCATGCGTTAATGTGTCGTTTCCTCTCTATATATATCGTCCACCCCTTCCCTATTCATTCTTGTTCTTGATAAACCATAACTTCTCCTTTGGCTGCAACAAAACCATTGACTACATCGTCCATAGAAAAAAAGTTCCCTAATCGGTGACGGTGGTTGTACTCGAACTCAATGTTCATATAAATTTCCAGTGCCTTCGCTTACCATTCCTGATCAGTCTCTATTTTCTCCTCTTCCATTTCATTTTCACACACAACGAGCGATGCGGTAATTTGCTTTATTGATAAATCACCCTTCTAGATTTCGTAATTTGTTTTACGTGTTGTTTAATTTTCTTCCCTTCTGTTAACTCAGGGTTCGATTTGAAGCCTCGATTTTGTCCCTGATTTTCCCGGTGGTTGCGAGTACATATCTACAAACTCAAAATTCATCATTATTACATCCTTTTGTATCCTTACTGATTTCTTCGATGTGTTGGGGTCGAATATATAAAAGCCCTAATTTTCTTGTGTCGTTTACAGCAATTTTACGCTGTTCGCTTTACGCCACGTCGCCTATTTCCTGAACGATGCCATGGAGACATTGACTCCACAAATGAACCGATAGAACGCATAGAAGAGAAACATTGTTTTTATTTGAGATGGTTGTTCGATTCAGATTTGATACAGATGAACACAACAGTTACGTTTCTGGTATCTTTCCATGTCATCGCTACCCATTCCCGACCATGCTCTTTTCTCTCTTATTCTATTAGATTCTCACACACAATGACTCCTAAACACAGGTATGTATTCGCTCCCTTTCTATGTTTGCGATGAGATAATTAGATTTCAACATTTCCTTTTTCAATTTCGTAATTTGATGTACAAGTTGTGGGTTTCGTCCCTTCTATTGACTTAGGGTTCGATTTGAAGCCCGATTTTGTCCATGATTTTGACTTCAAACTTTTCACGTTTTCTTTTTTGGTTGAAACCTTTTTCAGATGGTTTTGGAAATTAGAGAGCCGGTGGTTGCGGGAACATCTCTACAAACTCAAAGTTCGTCAAATATTACGTCCTTGCTGATTTCTTCGATAGGTTGGGGTTGAATACAACTTACGATTCGATGTTGTTGATGAAAAGGCGCTCTCTTGCTCCAGCACCCATCCTGTTCATCTTTCTCCAATAAATTATGTTTTGCAACTGTAGCACATATGGAGACATCGAAGTATTGATCAATAGGTTTAACGATAATTCCTGTCACTCTCATTTCCCTGCATTAAGGTGTGAAGGTGAGTTTTTTACATCGGCTAGAATACATTTAATGTTGCTCTGTATTTATGGTAATTGTACATATTTCACTTTGAATTAGGTTTCTGGAATGTGGGAAATTACTAATATATTATATTTCTTATTAATGTGTTACTAGTAAAAATTTTAGTGACTTTGATGGATCTCGATTTCGTGTATAGTATACCAGGCATGAGATTGTATATTTAGTGATTGTTTAGGACTTTAATTTTAGGGGTTTTTTTTCCACTTTTTCTTTGTTTTGTACATTTTTTTCTACTTCTGGGGTTCCATTTGACATCTGTTGTGGTTTTGTTTGTTTGAATTCTTTGTTCCACTCATAAAGACTACATGTAATCGTCACCGTTTGTCATCTTGAATATACATCACGTCACTCCTCTTCCTTGCTTAAGTTAATTGATTTTCATCCAAAGGTACTTCTGTGTCAATGGTGTGTCTATGGTTTCTGGGTTTTGAAGGTTAAGAAATATATGAAATTGGGTTGGATGTAAGTTTTAGTGATCTTATCTTCTCCGTTTCTAATGAATGTTCATGGCCTCCTATCCAAGTGAAGGTTAGCATCCAATATTAGTTGTTCTTTTTTTAAAAAAAATCATAGACTTGAACTTATATTTTATATTTTCCATTTAATCTTTGCAGCTTAAAAGGTGGATCACATAAAAGGTAAACCAAGCAACCTTCCTATAGTACACAAGGTGCATCTGAAGCTATAAGGACACTGTTAAAGTGATAATTTGAAGATCAAACATGTTAAGATCAAGGAGGAGGGTAAATCAAGGCAAACAATAAAGGTTTAATTACCTTCCCTATGTATTTATAGAGAAGCTAAAGATAAACAATGTTAAATTATTAAAACTAGAGGTGACAAATTGGTGAGTTGGGTTTTTTGCATGAAAATAGATTTCGGTAAAATAGGATTGTATATAATGCAGGTTAAAACCATTATATGCTTATCATTGGTGTTTTTCTATAGTTAGAACAACTATATATTCCATAAAATTGGAAAATAAACTACAATTTGTAGCGTAGATATAACCAATAGAAAAGAATACCAACAAAACTTATATTTCCATTGCTAAAGTCTTAATAACGAGACAAATTTTGTGATATCACAAAGTCATTGCAGTAAAATGTTATAATCGGGTAGCTTTCAATGGACAATGCAATAATAAGAAAAAGAAAATAATTGATATTGTCATTACATAATATTAGGTTCCATTATTATTATTATTAAGAATTATGAATCATTATATGATTGATATGTAAGCAAAGATACTGCATTACGAATTTTGTTAGAAATGCAAAAAAAAATTATAAAAAATAAAATAAACATATGAATCGATCATGTGATATTTATTAACAATATAATAAATAATAGTAAATCGCAACAAATAACATCTTTTTACTTTTTATAATATAATAATAATATTATCATTGTACATTACCTTTACATGTAATAGCAAAGAAGTTTTTTTTCCCAAAAAAACTATGTAATTACAATTGTTTACCAATGATAATTTACATGTAATAGCAATGAAGTTATAATTTTTTCCCCCAGAAAATCTATGTAATTACAATTGTTTACCAATGATAATAATGTACTTGTAGTTATAAGAATATGTTTCTACTTTCATTTCTAAATTAAATAATTTTACATCGAAAATCCACCTAACACAATATAAATTAGACAACGGTGAAAGAAATAGGTAAATTACCATATGTGGACCGTGCTAAGCACGGACCTCAAACTTTTCTAGTATATATATATAAAAGCTGCTAGTTTGACACTATATATATACCAACTCCTCTGCAACAAGCTTCACTTCTTCCTAAACAAAATTTCCCTCTTTATTTTCACGTCCTTTCCTCCACATTAAAGATCATGGAGGAAGTTCATCCGCACCAATTACTTTATCTTTCATCTATCAAAATTAAGAATGATAAACCGATAAAGCGGAAATCAACCAATTAAGTTATATATATATATATATATATATATATATATATATATATATATATATATATATATATATATATATATATATATATATATATAATAAAAAACATGTTTTGAACGGTTGAAATATATCGAGCAATGAACTCACTAATTTTTCTTTTAGCTTAGCATACCCCCTACGTCCCATGTTATGTGGGTAATGAGACTTTGCTCGAGCGGCTTTTCCATTATCAGACCTAGCCTTCAACATAGAGTCGTAAATAAAAGAATGTCATCAAATGATTTATAAATTACTTCAAAATATAATGAAATTGCTTATCAAAAACAAATTTAACATTAATTTATACTAATTTTTTAACCTTGAATGGTTTTGATTATATAGTTTCAATGAATGTGCGCCAATGTCTTTTTTTTTTTTTTTTTTTTTTTTTTTTAAACGAATGATACTGAGGTGGTCTATGTTTTAGTTTCCCTGGTGTACCCAAGTTGGGCTTTATGAAGTTAGTATTAATATGATTTTTGAAAGTGCGCCAACATCGACTAGGATGGGACAAAACTTTCTTCCCTGCACGTTTATCGATTGCAAAAAATTGTTGCATGAATAGTATTGCATGTTAGTAAATTAAAGGGTGATTGGGACGCTGTTCCACTTTGTGTACAATTAATGAAAAGGACATCAAGATTGATCAAGTAATTACATTCATGCATCATCTATGCATGTTGTCTACCAGTGTTTGTGCCCATAAACTATCTTTCACTTTATTTCCACTCTGTGTACCTATGTCCGACATGTTTCCAAACAAAGCCACCCCAGAAGCTTGAAAATAGGGGTGCATTATCACCAAAAAAATTTACCCGTTTTATCAAAATCGATGATCTTACATCTTTTACCTCCAGATCTATCCCACTCTAAGTGAAGTTTTGGTAATCTAGTGATACCTCTACCCCTTCTTCCCACATTTTATTATAAAAAACAAATCAAAAATATGCAAGTAAAGTAATACATATAGTAGAAATATAAGCCATCATTTTGTTATAGCAGTATCGTGTCCCCGACAACCACACCAATTTGTTAAAACGTTGTCGCGGACGTCTTAAAAAAAAAGTTTCACTGCTTGGTTGCGCTAAAAGAATAGCATAGAGAAGCGGGGTCGAATCCTCAAATGTCTCTTTGTGTAAGGCACATACTAGTCATAAAACAGAAAATATAAAAAGTTTTTTTTTGTGAATTAATAACTAGAAATTGCAGTGAAATAAATAAATAAAATCTAGTAATAAAAAAACGAATTATGTTTTGTTGCGACTTTCCTAATTATGCTATCAACACAAACCGAGTTATTCAAAATATCTTCTATTTAAGCTGGTACTGAGAACTACTAACAACTCTAGTATATATTCTTTTACCTAGTTAATTAACCAAGACAATCTCTTTAGTTAATCCTAA